CACTTCTTCAACTAGCAGCTAAAACCCGACAGCCCTATCCCCATCTTCAACCCAGTTGTAGGTATTGTTTATTTCCAGATATTCAAGATTTATTTTTTGGGTTCTGCAACCGTAGCTATTGTTCCAAAAAAATAAACAGCTATTGTTCCAAAAAAATAAACGGATTTGAGTACTCTGCTAATATCAGTCTGTTTATTTTTTTGGTTTTATTTTTTCTTTTTTGATGCTCTTGTTTATTGATAAATTTGAAATACTTAAGTTCACTCATAGAGAATCGTCAAATCAGTGTGCTTGAATTATTATTTTTTTCAGAATTTTTTTAAAAGCACTTCAATCTCCTCTAATGCCCCAACATAACTTTTCCTCCAATACATCTCATTTAGTCATAAAGCCTTCTAGGTTATTAGCCAAATTTCTCCAAACATCATTTAGTCATAAAGCCTTCTAGGTTATTAGCCAAATTTCTCCAAACATTTTTTTTCTGGAGAGAGATGATCGAAAGGCTTTTAGCACATGAAAAGAATACATAAAAAAAATGATGGCTTATCATAATAAAAGTATGTTATTCCAAAATATTAACATCTTGAAAACATCTGATTCCAAGTCAAGACGCAAAGGCATACAAAAAGTATGGCTAATTCTGATGCCTGATGCAATTATAAAGTTTAAGCTACATACTAATAGGAATTATACGATCAACCATGTTTTAGGTATAAAGCCAAAAAAAAAAAAAAAAATTGGTAATTGCATTTCCCATATTTCTTGACATAGCCAAACAGTAACAATGTATTTCTCAAGTTGCATCTAAATATTATTTAAACAGTGACAATCCATTTGCAAATAATTGTATTATACAGTAATCTATTATGCCAATAATATATTTTACAGACAATATATTTCTAGGTATCCAAACAAGCCCTACAAGATGTACTGTTACAAGACTTGAAATCTTTTTTACTTTTCATATGCATACATTTCAAAGTTGAGATGATCAATCAAAAGGTTTTTTCAGCATTAGAACAATTTTTTTCGTGTGAATTTTTGAGGTATGCACCTTACATCAACTTTTTGCATGTGCTTTTAGATCATGTACTTTGTTTTGAATTTGAGAAGTACTGATGGTGCCCTAGGCCATATTTATATAGAGTGGTAGCTGCTCTTCTAAAATCTCTATGTTTGCAAAATTTGGTGATAGATCCCTTACAGTTCACCAACCCCACATCAATAAAATTAAATAAAGCTATCAATTTTGGGGGCTACTTTTGCGGGCAAAAGCTCCAATTTGGTTCATATTCAAATAAGTGATAATAACAGTTGAGTTTTCACCTATACTAGCGGTCCCATTTGCTCTAAGTAGGAAAATAGTGCACTAACAAGAGAAAATGGAAAAAGAAAAAGAAAAAGAAAAAAAGGGTTGTAAGCAATTATGGGCAATTACTGTTATAAAGTTACAATTACTCTTATAAAGGTATTCTATTTTTTAATATGGAAAATGAAATCAAAAAATCCAGAGAAATGCTTTTTGAGAAATTTATCAAAATAAATTTCGACTATTTCAACTCATATATATATATACCAATGGGCAATTTTAAATTGAGTAAAAATAGGATAAACATGCAATATTTCATTTCTCAGGTGAATTTTGATAAAATATGGTGCCACCTAGCTGTGTTGACTTGAGGTATGACAGTATCCACTAGTAAATTGGTGGTTGGTATTGTTGCACTTTACTGAGAATTGTGGGTAAATAGGGAAATTTATGAGATAATTACCTAAGTGTTAATATATAAAATCAATATAGTATTCATTGTGAAAGGCTAATAAATCATCATGATCATCATCAAAACTTTTTTCTAATTAATTGGGATTCGCTAAATAAAAATTTAGTAAATATGAATCCAAACTATACATAATTAAGAGCGTAAAAAACAAATGACTAAGTTGACAACTTTATGTAAAAATAATTATCGAACATTCCTTGCATTTCTTGATCCATTTTTTACGTAAAAGACATGTTTCTTTTCAAATTTAAAGCGTTGGTTTTTAATATAGATTACCAATATGTACTTATCATGAAAACAATTCATGATAGTAATAGATCCCTTAAATATCGTGATAAATTCATAGGAAATTTATCAAAATGCTCCTAAAATTTGAAGTATTCTACATTTTAACCAAGGTGTAATTTGATAAATTTCTAACATGACATTTGATGGACAATTTGAATTCAGATAAAAAATACATGTAGGTAAAAATATTAAATAGTTCAAATCTCAATTATCTATGGTTTGATAAATTTCCCCAAATTCATTTTAAGGAGACATTTTATGAGTTATTAACAACAGTAAAATATATCATGACTATATGCATAGCTATATATGGGTGGCTGCAATTATTCCATTAACCAAGATCAAACTTCAAAAGAAATTTTTTCGTAACTTTGTGATACATTCAAGCGATCAAATTTCACATCAAATGGTTGTAAGGAATTGTGACCACCTAATATCAACGGAAAATTGTCACATTGTATACAATCCCTTAACTTAAAGTTAACTTAGACTTTTGATAATAATGAAACTCTAGACATCGCATTGTGGCATAAAAGGGACTTTGATCATAATGGAACTCTAGACATCATAGTGGCACCTCAATTGGGTATATATATATATATCAAACTTATAGAAACACATAAAATGAATACTATATGACATTATTTGGGAAAATATTCAAAGAACACTATCTGTGACATTACATGGGAAAATATTCAAAAAACACTATTTGTGACATTACATGGAAAAATATTCAATATAACTATCATTATCATTATTATTTTTAGATTCGTGCTTATGGTGGTCGAGACACGAGGCCGATAAAAATTATATCCAAAGTCTATTTTCAAAATGGGTTTTTATAAAGATAAATTCATTGTTAGGTTTTTGCAAGGTTGGACACAATATAATAGGGGCGTTTAGAATGCCCCTAAACCCTGCCATACAGGAACCAAGGTATATAAGTGACATGCATATTGTTTTCATGGAGGGTTTAGGTTTTACTCTATCATGGGGATAGATTTTGAGTTTATAATTTTGCAGGGCTTTTATCTAGACCAGAATCTAGAGAAAAATGAATCTTGACCTTTTAAAATAATATATTTTGTACTATTTTATAAAGGGTACGGTTTCTATAAGGTTGCAACCTTAAACAATCCAATTAAGGCGTATCTCCGAATTTTATCATATCATGTAATTTTGTTGTAATTTTTTTTAAAAATTATCTTAAAATCTATTTTCATGTCTAATTACAAAATTTTAAACTTCAAAAATGGTTAAAATCAAATAGATTTATAAACATATGAAAATCTTCAAAATGGATGGTCTAGATAATGTTGTTACAAGATGCATCATTTATGAGGCTCAATTTTTTTTTTTATTTTATATTCATACATTTCGATGTCCAGATGATTAAATAGATAATTTTTCAACATTAAAACAACCTTTCCAATAGATTTTTGAGGTGCATATGTAATTCTACATTTTAAGGTTGTAACCTTATATAAACTTTTACCTTTTCTAAATTGTTATTTTAATTATTTGAAAATCAGTAGATCCACATTGTATATGGACGAGAGGCACAAATGGACTTATAATAATTTAAATGATAAGTACGGTAAATAGACCATTTACTTTCAGTAAACAAAATTTTTCTTGAACTTCGTGTTTCACCCCAAGCCATTTAATCAAACATCTGATGGCTAAAATTAATTGTGATATATTTATACAAAAGATAAATGGTCTCATAGGATACAATCCCTAATTTAAATGTGTATCGGTTCTATATCCCTTAAAAATTGGGGCAAATATATGAGTTGGTCAATTCTCCAAATAAATTTTCTTGTCTTTCATGCATATAGAGGTCACAATAATTATCGTCCATTTAGATTTCAAAATGCTTTAGATTTCAAAATGGGTGGTCGTAAGAGTATCATTGATTAGACACGAAGTTAAAAAAACAAATTGTCATGCGTATGACTCAGTTCAAACCATCCAATTTAAAATCTAATAAGTGAGAATAATCCAATTTGAAATCTAATAAGTGATAATAGTTGTGACTTCCTTGTACAAACGATAAATGGTATCTTTATTAATAATCTCTAATATTTATATATATATAAATGGTTCTTGTTTTGGTGTGGTAGCTGATGCACTTGTTTATAAACGTCTTCCCTCCAAAATCCATCTTAGAGAATAAATTTTGATCCAAAATTTTGAAGTTCCGCAATTTCAACCATAGGCAAGTGGAATTTTTTTGTAAATTAAATAACTATTTAGTGGATATATACACCATATTTTGAGCTGCAAAATAAGGAAAAAGTTTATATAAGAATGCTACTTTATAATGTAGAGCTATGGATGCCCCTAAAAAATCCATCGAAAAATGTAGTTTTAACGTTGAAAAACCCTTTGATTGATCATCTCGACATCGAGATGTATGACTATGAAAAATAAAAATATTTTAAGTCTTAAAAATAGTGCATTTTACAATATATTATCTACACCGTCCATTTTCAAGATTTTCATACATTTATAGATCTATTTGATTTTAACTATTTTTAAAATTTAAAATTTTATAATTAGATATAAATATAGATTTTGAGATAATCCTAAAAACATTTTACATCAAAATTATATATCATGATAAAATTTGAAGGTGCACCTTACCTCTACCCGTACGGATGCACCCGAATGCCAACTTCACCCGTAAAATAATTAGTGAGTTTTTTTACCGGGAGAAAACCAATAGTCGTACGAAAATCCCGAAACTTTCGAAATTTCGGCCCCTATGGGAAGGTTAATTGCCTGAGGATACCTATGAAATTTGAATAAAACGTTGAGGATAATTTAGTAAACTATTATCTTCTCTCACATCATGAAACGTCAGAAAGATACCTCTCTCTCTCTCTATCATTTTCCTGAGAATTCTTTCACCATTCCCACCAAAGTCTTCCACCATTTGAAAGATACACTCAACAGGAGAGGCACCAATAGTTGTTTTTTGCCTTTCTCTCTCTAAAAAACCCAATTTTTTGCGTAGGCTTTTCTCTCTCTAAGAGCTTTTTGAATGCCCCCATTTTCTTTTTGTCTTGACTTTGAGTACCTCTATTATGAGACTTTGTTTTCTATGATGATACCAATTTCTTCTGAGTTTTTGAGGTATTTTGGCTTTTTTTAGTAAGATTCAGCTTTTCTTTTGATAGATTTATGGGTTTTTCTCTCTTTAGATGATGGTATAGACAGAATCAATTTTGGGGTTTTGAGAGCACTTTATAATTTAAAAGAAACAGCTTTTCTTTTGCTTGATAGTCTTTTTGGATTGTTTCGAGCTTTTTATTGCCTAATTTTGTTGAATTAGCTTGGTTTTTGTCCAGGTTTCTATATTCTCTCTAAATGTACTTCATAGAATTGATGATGGGTTTTTGCAAGTACTGGTTTGGTTGTTTCCCATGTATAAATTGATTCCCTTCTGCTAAATTTTTATCCTCTCTCTAGATGAGTTAAATTTTTATGTTTTCTCTCTCGTGATGATATTTAACGGTGAAGCATTCGTGGGTATTTTAAATTAGTCATTTTAATTGTTTCCATGGTATAATTTTCACATGAGCTTTCTGTAATCCTCAATTTCCAGGTTATCTCTCTCTAGGTTCAGCTTCCGCTTTGAAACAGTTCCACTTCATACCAGTGTCTGTATTTGAATGATAGAGCTATTTCTATTCTCCAATTGAAGCCTAAATGTCCTTAGGACTCCTCTTATTTATTTATGCCTGAATCCATGATGGGGTTATAAACTAGCAGAAATTGGGTGTTTCCCTTTCATAAATGGTTATATAGCACCTTAATCAAGAGAATGGCGGTTTCAGCATTCAAATCCACATCAAAAAGAGGGAATTTTGGGACTCCATCCACTGTTTCTGGTAAGGAAAACACAGAGGATTTGGGCAAGAGGATCCCACAAAGGAGATCAAGAAGTGTTAGTGCTTATTCTAGGAATTATACCGAGCTTCAAACCGGCGCAGCTGATTTTCTAAACAAAAGGGATAACCCACTCTTTTGTATTACTAGCTCATTTCCAGATTCTACTGAGATAGGGAGAGAGAATGGGGACTTTAAATTCAAGGAATCAAAACCAGAAGGATTTAGTGGTAGTGGGGAGAGAATAAGGGGGCGTTCGGTGTCACGGGCAGTGGGTATTGGTGCTAATACGGGCTCGATTTCCAGCGAAAATGGTGCAAGGAGAGGAAGGTCGGTTTCTAGAAAGCAGTTACCGGATCCCCCCAAAACATCAGAGAGAAGTCTTTCTCAGGTTGATTATGGGCGAGGAAGGCGGTCCATGTCGAGGGTTCCTTGTGTAAATTCAGAGGTTGGATTTTTCTACTATTTTCAAACCATCCTTGTTTTCTATTTGCCAATTTTTTATTGTCATGCTATTTGATATTGCTAATTGCTTTGGGCAATGTTCTGGATTTGCTTGATTGTTTACTGCAATTGGGATATTGGGGTGGTCCATTTGCCATTCCTTTTATCCCAGTTTCTTGCTATTGAATGATTTGTTTATTTATTTATTTTGACTTAAGTACATATTTGTGCTTAGATTTATTAATTTGGATGTGAGTTTGGATTTATCTTACTGCGCATTATCCATTGTTGCCATTTTCCTTCTCTTAAAACTCAAAACCTTTCAATCATGCTGAAAATGTCGAAAGTTTGATTGGGGAGTTTGAATATCTTCCTATAAATCTCTCTAGGAATCTCTATATTGCTTATTAATTCTTCCTTTTTCATTTCTTCTTGTGAAACAATTGGGCTTTTGGATTCTTACTGTGAATATCTCTAGGAATCTCTTCTTTTTATCCTTCTTCTCCCATTTTCTTTTGGATACAACAATTTGGCTGTTAGATTTCTTGCTATTAATGTGTTCTGGATCTTTTTCATAGAGTGATATCGAAGTAGAGCCTAATCTAACAGGCATAATTAGAACGACACAACAAGCAAATCCTTACTTGGATGTCCAAAGGCAAGACTCTGTTAACACATCCAATGTATACGACCAGGATACGTTTTTGCCGACCTGGACTAGTCGTTATCCTCCATCACAGTCTTTTGATGGGCTCACTGTAAGTTTACAATTTTTTGTTTTCTTCAATGTTGTGTCTGGGTTTTTGATTTGCAGCTTGTATTGCTTCTCTTTTTTCTTATTCTTCTTCCTTTTGACGATGAGTACTTCTTGTTCTCCAGAAGAAAATTACACTAACAATATTTTGCTCAAGATAGATCCCATGGATTATATTTTTGCTCCTCTTATTGAGAACTAGAGAACTGATATTTGCATTTTATTTTGAAGGCATCTTTGGGAGTATCAAATGAGAATAATAATGGTATTCCTGCATTTCTTTACTCTGAAGCGGAAGAGAAGACAATCAAGGCAGTGTTTGAACAGATGAAGGTGCAAAACCATCAGGGCTACTCAGTATGTAATGCTGTTACCTATGTTCTTTCCAAGTCTGAACTTGAAATGTGTTCTCCTATAACCAAGGAAGAAGTGGATAGTCGATCTAGACTTGTTTTCTACTAGATAAAGTTCCTTTTTTCATTGATGCTTGCAATTGTCTTCTTTCTGATTTTTGGTTGCTCTTTTGCTGTTATTTTGATGATCTTTTCAGGATGGGCATCCCATTGGTGAATCTGGTTCTGGTGAATTATACGAAACTGTTCGTCTGGAAGTAAGACGTGCTGTTTCAGAGATAAGAAATGACCTTGAAAGCGTAAGTGGATTTTTCACTACTTGGACACACAATAAATGTCAGCCTGTTTGAGTTTTTCCTCTGTTATTCGACTTGTAACTCCTAGGCATGTGTGATTATAATATCTCATGTAATTTTGAATTGAAAAAATGGGTTTATGATGTGTGCTGTATTCTTCTGAACTATATTCTGTTGCATAAATCAGTCATTGATCTAGGAAATTGCTTGGCTATGGCCTGCTATGAATAGTGTTTTTTGGTTCTGTTATCTGGATTTTTGACAGAAGAAAATTCTGGGGTGGTCCTTTTCAAGTCTTAATTCTCCAACTCATGGCAATAGAATTATATATATCTATTGACTGTTATTCCATTAGGGTTATTGACCTATTGTCTAACTACTAAGGCTATTTTATTTGTTTTCTTAGTTGTTGATCGGAGATTGTACAATTATATAGTGAACAGTGAGATTTTTTAGCTTGAGGGGTGTGATGAGAGAGTTGATTTCTTTACCAAGTCCGGAACTTCATATCTGGTCATATAGAGATGCAACCATGCAGCAAACAAACTGTTGCTCATCTTTATTAGTACTCAGGTTTGAGAGTGCTTTTAGAATAATAGTGTATTTGTATTTATGTGATTAGCCAACCCCAAATAGTCTGAAAAAGGCTCTGATGATGATGATGATGATCATGTATTATTTATGTGCTTACACTCGCAATAGAATGCTGCATCTCTATTTGACCTTGCTATATGAAATAGTTTGGATAATACTTTTGAGGAGTTTTTAACATAATGTGCCTACTTTCTGTTTCATGCTTTCACTGAAATGCTGAAATCCCTACATGTGTGTATTATATCGGGAGATGGTCTGTTATTTCAGAAGTATCTGTGTATAAAAACTTGCCAGAGTTGGATGTGAATAAAAAGATGGCTTCTAAAGTGGAAAAAATCTCTGGATTACATGGCTGAAAAGGATTTGCAATCCATATGAAAAGGCATGCAGGGAAACATTAAAAAAATTGTGGTTGTAATATATATATATATATATATATATATATATAAGGAATAGATCTTGTCAGCCCACAGGCTAACAACTATAGTGGTAGCCAACGGCCCAGATTGAATCTGAGCCCGATCCAATGGTCACAACCTCATTTTGTATTTGAATCTTCATTTTTTTCTATAAATTAAAATCATTTGAAATTTTGAGCGTCAATTCTTTAAAAATAGGAGAATCTAATAAAAATATAAAAAAAAACAATATGCAAAAAATAAATTGGCTAAAATACCCACAAAACTTTTCAAGGGTATTGTGGTCAATTTTTATTTTTTGAATTAATTTTTTAATATTTTTATTAGGTGCACCTTGATGAGAAGAATGAACACGTAAAATTTCAAGTAATTTGGATTTGTAGAAAATAAAAATGAAAATTCAAATACGAAATAAAGTTGTAACCTTCAGATCGGCCCAGATTCAATCTAGGCCTGACACTGTCGCGGTTAGCCTGTGGGTTGACAGGATCCATTCTCATATATATATATATATATATATATATATATATATGTATATACACATATATATATATGTGGCTAGTGAACATTGATAAAATCTCTTTTTCTTATGGAGGGACATTCTTAAGCCTACATTATCATAAAGAAGTTAACACCTAATATTATGTTGGGTATTCAATCTCAGAGGAGATTGCCTTGGTTGCTTTGACTGTGTTTTGGTTTCTTTACTCAATTTATGGTTGTAAAAGTCCTTGTGGATTCAACCTAAAAAAAAATGTCCTTGTGGATCCTAAAGATGAGTTCAATCAGTTGAAATTGAAATTGAAATAAACAAAGATGAAGGTTCTGATTTCTTCATCTTATATGCTGTTTAGCATCTTGACTCTATTCTTTTGTATTCTTAATGATTGTATTTTATCAGAACAATTACTGTAATTATATTTTTATCAGGCCATTAGGAAAAAGAATTCTGTGATCACGGCTGCCAATGTAGGAGATACCTCTCCTGAATCCATGAATCCTGAAGCCATTCAGTTGGTTGCTGACATTAGAAGTGAATATGCCAAGAAACTCGAGCAGGTCAAAGTCTAGTTTATTTTTATTTTTTATTTTTTATTTTTTATTTTTTATTTTTTATTTTTTAAATATCAAAATGAAAATGGTTTCAGAAAAGTAAACTGTAATGCAATGGGCTGTGGTTCAACCTCAGTCCATTGGGGTCATCACCATCTATGAAATGATGGATGGTGATGGAGAGAGCTGATACATCCAGAGCATGGAACTACTGCATTTGTGGGACTAGGTCATCACCATCCATCATTTTCATCAGATGTTGATGTCCCAGTGGACCATTGTTCTTGACAATGGAAAAGAGTTTCCCTGTTGTTGGATTATACTTCCCCACTTGTTTAATCTGTTAACACTCATTAAACTAGACTAGTAAGAATAGAATGATAGAATTAGTAGGTTCCATTACTAAATCTTGTAAAGAAAAAAAAACAATAATTTGCAGTCCCAAGAGCGCGCTAGAATCCTCCGGGCAGATTTGGCGGTGGAAGAGCAACGTGGGCAGGAACTCAGTAGGATATTGAAGGAGATATTGCCTGATCCCCAGGCTAACAATTCCATGACCCAAAAATCACGGCAAAAGAGGAAGGTGGACTTTTCTATGGCTGAACATGTTGGATGCTTTTCTCTGTGTGTGTGTGAGAGAGAGAGAGAGAGAGAGAGAGAGAGAGAGAGAGAGTAGTTACTTCTCTCTCGTGACTAGTTAGTTCGTACGTACGTCGACGTAGGTGGTAGTAGTAGTTAGTACGTACTACGTTCGTTCGTTGTTCGTTCGTAGTACGTT